CCTTATCACTAATATAAATCATAACAAGTTCGCCTCGTTTTCTTTTGTCCATGAAATGGCTACAGAAATAACCCGTTTAGTTAGCAACTCAAAATCTGAAATAAAAATTGTATATAACCCTCACATAAGATAAGTTCTTTATTACACACCTTAAAATTAGCTCTAAAGAACGAACAAAAACAAGGCATATATATCATAGAAGGTGAATGTGGTAAGAAATATATTGGACAAATTGTACGATCTCTCGAAATTAGAGAAAAGAACATCAAAGTCATATGCGTAGAAGTGATTTTGAAAAATCTGCCTTAACACGTCATCAATTTGAAACTGGTCATAGGATTACTTGGGGAAAATGTTTCACTTACACCAACCAAAACATAAAATAGAACAAAATATTCTTGAAAGCATTGAAATTATTAAAACAGGTGTTTTATCTTTGAACCGAAGCAATGACCCTAGTAACATTTACAGAATATGGCAAAGTTTATTCACTTAGCTCCTCCTTCCTCTGACTTTCCTTTAGGTAATAAATAACTCTGTCACAATTTATTGTTGCCACATTATAACACCCCGTTGTTACATCCTGTTACCGATGGTTCCTAGATACATTTTGTTCTGTATATAAACCTCTTTGTTTGGATTGCAGATAATGAAATTGATATCAACAGATTAAACTTTTTTTAATAGTTTCGTAACCTAATACTTAAATGCTATTTGGTATAACGTCTGCAAAAACCTTAACCTAAGTCCTTTGGGGAATTTTAACAATATTCGATAAAATATTCTATAATGTAACCAGAGTAAGAGAACCTGTAATGTCTGGAGTATGAAATGTAAAAGAATGTATGTGAAGAATGGTCTAAGATAGCCCATCACATCATATAAACAAACATGTGGTTTCAAGGGTTATATAGAATCTATAGCATGTTATCTGTCCTATACAATAGCAAAAACACAAAGCAAAGTATTATCTTGTGCAGGACACTTTAATAATATGTTCCAAGTTTGTTTGCGTTATTACAGCAAGAATAGAGAAAACGACACAGCCTGGTTTTAAATGATACTGTAGGATATGCAATTGTTGCTTGCGGAGATGGTTATGTACATGGTTACGGTAGTTCATGAGAAGTTTCAACTCTGTAGTTCTCAGAGGGGCTTAGTTTTTCAAAACTTTTATAATTCAAAACGTGTATAAACTGGTGAAGCATGATGAAAGGTATGTGAAGTGGTATACTCAAGAACACTTCTCATTTACTAGAAGTTAGATCCTGTTCTAGCACAAGAATGACTTATAACCTGCTACAGATCAAGTTCTAATCATGTCAATAACCTACTCGTTACGGATCTTCTATTATATAGTTTTAGGACACTATTTAAGTGTTGTTTATTTTGTTCTGGATAAGATGTCAATTATATTATTAGACAGGCTCAAGTTGAAACATTACTAGAATCAGTAATTCATAGTTATAGCAAATTTGGAAATTTTTCCTTTCATAATAAATATTAAAAACACGGTAATACCAAAAACTATCTTTAAATGCGGACGTTCTGGAATTGCTTCAAATTCCATCATCAGTGTTAAAACCTCAAAAAGCTAGTTCACAATATTCTGATTACAAAAAATAACAACATTGGCTATTAAGCGAGTAGTTGTCTAATACAATCAGAAGTTTAGAAAGGAATTCAAATTTTTGAAGTAATTCCGAAACGTCTGTAATTAAGGACGTTTTTTGGTATTATCGTGTTTTTAATATTTGTTATAAAACTTCATTTTTCCTTTCAGTTTTGATGTTATAGAACGCGGTAGTTCAATAATTTTAATTAAATATGAGATGATTTACCACTTTGTTTTGAGAACATTCATTTAATGCAGATAGTCTATTTCTATCCCATTGTTTTGGCAATACAACATTTTTGGTACTTCAAAACACTTATACATAAAACGTTTCATTTCAGTAATATCACATTTTACATATTTGTTCTTTGTAGCTCGAACACAGTTAACAAAAATGCCAAGTGAAATTTGTAGTTATCGAACGTACTCATCTTTTCACGAACATATGGAATAATTAAGAAACTTAAGTACTTTTTCAATACATTTTATGATTTGTTTAAGATTTAAGAGAACAATTATTTGAAGAAAAATGTGTGTTTTGTCTGCTCTCAAAGGACGTTGGAATTTCATATAAAGTCCAGTATTAGCCAAAGTGTAAGAAAGCATTTCGTTCCTCATCTTTCCTGTTGGTACCCCTGTCTTCTCTAAAGTAGTATTGAGGATTCGGGTATTGTTCTTGAATTTGCTCGGTTAGAACTGGTACAAGTGGCCCTGCTGAACGAGTTGGGAATAATTCAGGGTTTTCAAATGACCACTTTTTCGAAATGAGATCTTCTTCCTCGTTATATGGCATAAATTCATATCCTGTAAAGTCATTCATGACGTCAGCTACTGTTCCATCAGGGTTTGGCGTGCTTCTTTTTACTCTTTTGTGATTTGACGCTTTCTGATCTTCACTGGTAACTATTTTCCCAGTATTACTGTTGCCGTTGTTTGGACTGCCTTTAACTGCCAAACCCAAATGCTCTGCAGAGATTAAGTACTTGTTTTGTTTGGACTGAACATTGTTTGTTTCTTCGTTGTTTACAGATCGCGTTTCTAAACGCTTTGTCAGATGAAAATTATTTTCTGCGCTAGTTTCATAACCTTTCAATAACTTCATGACTTTTGGAATCACTTCTAAATTGGTTCTTGTAAGATTATCTTTTTCGTCTATATTTCCATGAATTAGCGATGGTTGTTCAGTTTGTTCCATGTCATGGGATACAAGGCCTTGGTTGTTACTAGTGGAAATATCGTGATTAGACAAGCTTCTATCATTTGAATTATATCTTTCATCAGTTGATATGACAGGTTGATCATATAGATAGACCAAGGAGTTCATGAGACTTTCTAGATTTTCAGAGTTCTTCATTCTTTTTCCAAAGTACAACATATTGTGACCATCCTTTTTATAAAGACTTTTACGCAAGCCTTCAAATTTTTCTTCTTCATCATTTCCGTAGATAGGTCTTTTACCAAAATGTATCATTTTATGGTCGGCCCTCTTTTCTTCATTAAGCATTTTCCCAAAGTTCACCATTCTAAGATCAGGTTGATTCTCATCATCAAACGTTATACCAAAATACACCATTTCATCATCAGGCTGAATTTCGGAAAGGGGTTTTTTACTAAAATACACCGTTTGTTTCTCGGATGGTTTATCTTTATCAACTCTTTTTCCAAAATACATCATACGATGATTGTGTAAGGGTTGTTGGGTAGATCTTTTGCCAAAATACATCATACGGTGATCAGGTCGTTTTTCTTTTTCAAGCCTCTTTCCAAAGTACATCATCTGATGATCGGGTCGCTTTTCTTTTTCAGCTCTCTTTCCAAAGTACATCATTTCATGGTCTAATCGCTTTTCGTCTTCAGTTCTTTTACCAAAATACATCATTTGATGATTGGGTCGCTTTTCGTCACTACTTCTTTTCCCAAAGTACATCATTTGATGGTCTGGTCGCTTTTCGTCTTCAGTTCTTTTACCAAAATACATCATTTGATGATCGGGGCGCTTTTCGTCTTCAGTTCTTTTCCCAAAGTACATCATTTGATGGTCTGGTCGGTTTTTGTCTTCAGTTCTTTTACCAAAATACATCATTTGATGATCAGGTCGCTTTTCGTCATCAATTCTTTTCCCAAAGTACATCATTTGATGGTCTGGTCGCTTTTCTTTATTAAGCCTTTTTCTAAGGTACATCATATAATGATCTGGTTGCTTTTGTTCATGAAATCGTTTTCCAAAGTACATCATTTGATGGTCTGGTCGCTTTTGGATGTGAAGTCTTTTACCAAAGTACATCATGTGATGGTCTGGTCGCTTTTCTTCATCAAATCTTTTTCCAAAATACATCATGTAATGGTCTGGTTGCTTTTGTTCATGAAATCGTTTTCCAAAGTACATCATGTGATGGTCTGGTCGCTTTTCTTTATCAAGTCTTTTACCAAAGTATATCATATGATGATCGGGTTGCTTTTCTTTTTCAGCTCTCTTTCCAAAGTACATCATATGATGGTCTGGTCGCTTCTTGTCATTCTGATTTTTATCAAAGTATACATTTCTGTCAGGTTGCTTGGCATTTATAAGATTTTTCTTAAGGTCTTCATTTTTGATTATTTCTAAAAGGGAGCCTTCAAATGAATTTGGGTCAAAATTCATGAAATATTTTTTGATTTTAGGTTTAAGGATAGATCTTTTTCCGAAATAGAGCATTTTGTGACCTTCATCTCTTTTCTGGTCTTCTCGCTGGTATGGTTGGTATAATAAAGAGTTTATTTTATTAAGTATGACATAAAGTAAACCAACAGCTTCCGGTAAACTCCTAGGTAACGATTGAAAATCACCTTGTTTATGATCTAATTTTACTTTTTCATCAAAATTTCGTTTTCCAAAGTGAAGAAGACTGTGTCCCCGTTTTCCTTCATAATCATTTAGCTTTTGCAGTTTTTCATAAATTACTCTATTTCTTTTTCTTTCCTTTAGCTTGTGAATAAGACCAGCAAAATAAAGCTCAGGAAACCTCTTTTGGAAGGGTGGATTCCAATTCGAATTATAGATACTACCTGGAGGAAGACTATGTCTTGAAAGAATTTCATGAAGCAGCAACGTTTTAGGCAAGGGACCTGAAAGAAAATTTGAAAAACAGTAAACTTTTTAGATAAACGAAAGTTAAATTCAGATACTCAGTTCTGCTGGGATATTTTATATTTCTTTGTATATTTTTAGTAAATTGATGGGATATTATTTATGCATTAGACTCTGTATTAAAAATTTTGCAGTGCCACGTTTTAACAGAGTGAAATCATATTTTTTACACTTTAATAACAAATTAATTATCATATGCAAATGCTGTAAAAATAGATGCTTTGAAAATATCAAAGAAAATTATTTTTTGGTAACTGACATAAAAAAGAGATATAAAACAAGCACTAAATAATCTTCTTTGCAAGGACTCGCTTCTCCCTACTGAAATCGTTTCAAGATCATACAAAGTATTTTTTCATCAGTTATAATCAAAACCCTGGTTGTTAATAGATAAAACAAATGTTAAATGGGTGCGTACAATACACGTTTAGATATGATAAAACTCTTTTGTTTAGTTAATTTCCAGTCTTAAAACAAAGTTGTTTTGTTTGTTTCGTTGTTAAGCACAAAGTTACACAATGGGCTATCCGTACCGAAACTCGGTTTTAGCGTTATAAGCTTTCAGACTTACCGCTGAGCTATTGGAAGCTTTAAAACTAAAATAAAAATGCTGTGAAAATTAAGACTTGAGAATTCCCTTGTCAAAACATATGCAAATCTGACATATTATTACAAAATAAGTTAGATAATGAGCTAAAGGAACTACAAACTTTAGTGCTTTTGTGCATCTAGTCAGTATCATTATCACAGTATGGTGTATTAAATGTTTCTATCAAAAAATAATGATTTATTTTCTACTTAATTTCTGCATACTTCAATCATATTTTGACAAAAAATATTCTATATCAAACTTAATTTGAAAGTCTCAATTTGGACGACTCTGATTCCTAACTTTCATTGTTTCCAATTTTTCAGAATATTGAATTATTTACAACAGTATTTAAAAAGCCTGAGATCATGCTGAAAAGGCTGTATAATTATTAGTTCTGTGTAGCTCACATAAAGTAGTATTTATTAAATTTATTGCCCATTTAAGTAACCTGTGTAACTAATATCTGATCAATGAAGTTTATTGAAAATGTAAACATTATTTCAGTAGGAGTTACAAAATCCTTAGCTCAAGCTTGATGCCGAACAAAGAGTGGAGAATGTTTTGAATCATTGTTATTGTGGCTGATAAAATCTCTTAGAATGTGTCAAGAAATACAAAAAGAATGGTAGTTTTGTATCCAAACTAAGAAAGGAAAAGAAGAAACAAAACTATTTATTGTAGTCGTTTCTGTTTACATAGTTTGTTCATTATGCATAAAACATGCATGATTATTACTGTTCTAAGTGATTTAAAATGGCAAATGTTTTGTTTTATCCTGAATATTTCCCACAGGTCTTCACACTTTTGTTCACTAAATGTTTATACTTTTGAACCTAGAGTTATGTGAAAATTTCAAAATTTTCAGAATCCCAATCTTTGTCCAGTAATAAAAGAAATGGTGCAAGTATCATCTTTCTTTGTTCAGAGTGCACACTTTTGAAGTTTGATTACCAAAATGTCAAATCTGCTTTGTATCAGTGTTTAAAATAATATGTATTTCATTATTATCCACTATTAAAACCAGCAACTCCAAAAACAATGTAACTCCGAATGTACCGACTGAACGATTATAATGAGAGTAACAAGTGATCCTGCCAATAGATACTTTACATGTACTCATCCTAACGCGTGCTTGTTTTTGTTTGTTTGTTGAGCACAAAATTACGTAATGGATTATCTGTGCTGTGCCCATCACGGGTATATAACTCTGTTTTTAGCATTATAAGTCTTCAAACTTACCGCTGAGTCACTGGGAGGCCCCTAACACTATAAGTATGAAGCAATTAATTTAATCTGTATCTATTTAGCTGAATCAGTTATCTACTTAGTTTTACTTGCAAGTAAATATTTATTCCTGAAAGGATGGCTCATCAGTGGTGACTGAGAAAAAAACGTCGACTGATAAAAGTAAAAACTACCGTCTCTTCATCCAGTCCTTCTCATTCCCAGAGTTCATTTCGCATATATCAGTTAGCTGAGAACGAGAGTGTCATTCAGGGTTACTGCTTCTTCCTGCTCATTCTCAAACATTTATAAAGGTTACAAGCTTTACAATCAATCCCATGTAATTTACTTGATAATGTGTGTAATATTAGCAATATCCTGATCTGCATATTACCTCCATGTACGAACTGCTTCCCTTTCAGGTCTTATTAAACAATAATAGTTACAATGTAATTGTCTTGGGTTGATATAACACACAACAATATGTGAAATCGATCAAAAGCGATATAAGAGCAAACATTCTACTTTAACTTAAGCAGTAGATGTCTCGTAAACACATCAAAGTACAGACAATTGACATTACGCACATTGCATCATTTTATACAGGTCTAAAAACTGAACTCACATTCTGTTTGGTTCCAAATTCACCTAAGAATCATTACTATTTTAAACCTAACAAAATCTCATGCGGTGAACTAGGTTTGTTTGGTTTGGTTTGAATTTCATACAAGGACTATCTGCGCTTATTTGTCCTTATTTTAGCACTGAGAGACACACGAGGACTATCCACGCTAGCCGTCCTTAATGTCACACTGATAGACACACGAGCAGTATCTGCGCTAGCCGTCCTTATTTTTGGAGTGATATACACAAACGAGGACTATCTGCGCTAGCCGTCCTTAATTTAGCACTGATAAACACACGAGGACTATCTGCGCTAGCCGTCCTTAATTTAACACTGATAGACACATGAGCAGTATCTGCGCTAGCCGTCCTTATTTTTGGAGTGATATATACACACACACACACAAGGACTATCTGCGATAGCCGTCCTTAATTTAGCACTGATAGACACACGATGGCTATCTGCGCCAGCCGTCCTTAATCTAGCACTGATAGACACACGAGGGCTATCTGCGCTAGCCGTCTTCAATTTAACATTGATAGACACACGAGGACTATCTGCGCTAGCCGTCCTTAATTTAGCATTGATAGATACACGAGGACTATCTGCGCTAGCCGTCCTTAATTTAGCAGTGATAGACTAGATGAAATGAGTTAGTCAAAATCACCCACCGCCAACCGTTGGGCTACTCTTTTACCAATGAAGAGTGGGATTGATCGTCACATTATAACGCCCCGACAGCTGAAAGGGCGAACATGTGCGGCGACGGGGATTCGAAGGGTAAATTAGGAGCCAACGAACATAAGTTCAGTTCATAGCACATGAATAAAATGATGCAATTGTTGAACTGTGCAAATCTCTAAAGCCTCTGAATGTGGAAAGATTAACGCTAGAAACATCGTTAACATTTGGGGATATTTTAAGATAGTATATGTATGCCAGATTTTATTTACATATTTTTCTTAAACACGTTGTCATACTTTGCTTAGCTTTAAATCGAATAAAAACAAGTTTTTGATCTACTTAAACATGCTTTTGCAAGTCATAAATCTAAGATATTAACTAGTTTATGGAAAGCTGCATTAACATGACTGCTCTCCGAAAAACAATAATCTTATGGGATGACCACTGCAAGATCATTGCAAAGTAGCAGGGAAATTATGTGGAGCACTACTGGTAAATATGGGTTTTAGTACAATTACATCAAATCATTTATGGACTCGAAAAAGTGTAAATTACCTTTAGTGCATGATTTGATATGCTTACTCCACATTTGTGATTATCAAATATTTGAATTGTTATTTCGTTTACTGGTCTAATTTTTCTTCTCACTATTTACTGATTTTGTTTTTGTATTTCTTTATTAACCAGCTTTTAGGTATGTTGAAGGAAGTATGATTTTTTAGAAAGATGAATGAATCAGTTATATTTACAGAATTAATCAAATTTACAAAAATGTTACAAGCCTAATTAGATCAGAAAACTATTTTGCGGATATTTTACTAAAAAGTACTATATTTTCTAACACTTTATGTGTATATTTTTTTCTCGGTGAATTTTTAAGGTTATAAAAATGCCTAAGATGTTCTCTTCTCCTTAATGTTTTTGCTACAGTTACACTCCTACAGAAAAAAGGGGAGAAAAAGGAAAACGCCTTTATATATTTTTTTACTTTTTTGTTCTTTACATGATTAACTGGATACCCATGATTCCGTGGCTAAGAATTTAGTATTCTATGTTTGCAGCTAATTAATTAATTATGAAAGCCTGACCTAAAAATGCCATGAAGTGTTGAACTTATTCCGACTTCATGGGTTAAAAATATTATTTGCAAAATATATGACTATTAAATTGGATTCTACATTGTTCAGAAAAATCACTCACAATATTATTTAATGAATAACCAAATAAAAATATTAAAAAGATAAAACTTGGTATTTATTGTAAGATTTTTCTCTTACACTTAAGTCTTTGACCAGGAGGTGTGATGGTTAGTAGCATCGACAGTCTTCTAATTGACATGGAATCATACTTAGTTCTTTAACCAGTTTTAAGAATAAGATGCTTCCATAGAAATACAAATTCCTAGGTTTTGTTTTGAATCCTTACTTGTATCGAATGAGATGCCAAACAAAAAATTCCAATTCCTTCATCTTTCAAAAATTGGGCTCATGTTTTTGCCTTTCAGTCTTAACACCACATATCTTATAATCTCTAGCCTTTAAATAGATCTGATTGAACTAAAATAACAAAATAAATTGTAAATTAAAAAATATAAAAACTTCTCACCATCACTTATGGGCAATGGATGTGATGCTGCCCTTCCACCAACATGTGAGGGCATTAAGACTCCCCAGACCACAAAGGCCACGTACTCCCATAATATCATCCTTATGGACAACTTCCCTGTTGAAAAAACAACAACATTGTATTGTACAATCCACTGTCTCAATTATATCTTCCACCAAATCAATAAAATACGAACACAGTCAAAGAACATTAAATTCAAAAATCAGGGATCATACTCTCAATTCTGTAAGGTCTCTAAAGTTAGTTTATTTTTATGAAATATTTACCTTCTTTTGAATGTTTGCATATTTTACCGAAAAATGGCTAAACATTTCTAGCTTTATGTAAAGAGATCCTCATATACAAAAAAATTTATTACGATCCTGAACACCAAACTTGTAATTTTACACCGATTGAGACGAACTGAGACGAAACAAGCGTTAATTTTTACCGCCATCTGTTGGCAACAATATAAAACGATAGTGAACATTTCTGTGATTTTTGTCTATCTTTTGATTGTAAGTTTATCGTCAATGCTACAAAAAATACTTTCAGCTATAACATAAGTTAAAGTAAAGTTAATTAAATGTTCTTGCTGACAAGAAAATGACAAAATGTGGGGTTTGGTATATTATTTGTGTAAAAAACAATGCACAGGCTTCTCAATTGTGGCTTATATTTTTCAATCTGGATTTAAAATTTACTCTGAAGAACCATTTACACACTTTTAATATCTTAATTTCAATACTGGTTTCCAAAACTGACATTTATCAATGTATATGGAGAATCGTTGTCGATCAGGTGTTTGCCTTTGAAAAATGATTTGTTTTTCATCGCAAACAATCAATATACTTTTGGATAAAATCATAAATAATATTCAACGTTAAACTGGTACACAATTAAAAACATTTTATTTAGGCCTATCTATGGCCTTCAAAAAGTTGACGATTCTACATGTTTCGAAGCTTTTCCCACCACTCCCCTGGGTCCCGTTGGTTAGTGGAAACAAATGGGGGGGCCAC